CCGTAGAAAAGACCAACTCACAGCTGAAGCCCAATTCGCAAAAAAGCCTTATAGCAATCCAACTTATTAAAGCAGCCCACTCAAATTCAAGAATCCAGAATTTTCTTAGATTTGAATTTTAAATATAATTCTAGAAAGTTAAAAAAGATTGAGATCATTAGATAAGAGATAAGATAAGATAGGATAGGATCAGTTTAAAACTAACCTGGATTATCCATTCTTGAGATAACTCCAAGTAGTTGTAATAGCCCCTCCCCTAAAACTATATGAAGGGTTGGGCGTACCAGCACCTGGCATCTATCAATGACTGAAACTCTCTCTGAAGCAATCAAGAAGACCATCAAGAAAGCTTCAAGAAGGAGATCAACAAGGCAAGAAAGCTTCAAGAAGGAGGTGGCGACAAGAAGAAGAGAAGATCTCAGCTCCAAGGGCGACATCATGAGTTCTTTCTTTCCTTTTGTTTGTTTTATTTCCTCTATCATGAATTAATTTATTTGTATCTAGGGTTGTGGAAAGCCTAACCATGACAATGAATTTATTTTTATCATGATTTATCCAAGATTGTGATTTCCATATAGTYTATGAGTTATTATGCTTAATGCGATTAGGAGTTTGGCCACCTCTTAATTAATTGGATTTATGTGAATGAATCGGGAGAAAAATTCATATAATGGACTGAATAATTCATAGTGTGAATTCAATGGTATATAGGGATATATACACATGATTCATCTAAACATATAAGTTTTTCTTTGAACTTAATGCATTTCTATCTTGAGAACTTTAGTCGAGGGATCGAAGGGTTACTTGATAGAAATAGATTTGATATATCTTGGGAAAGAATATTAAATAAATTTGGAAAAATTTCAGCTTATGGAAATGATAAATTATCTTGGTTAATCTCATCCATTAATATTCATTGGAATGGTTAGGCGGACCAATGGTCCTAGTGATTTAAGTTAATCATTGCATATTCAATTATTGATTACCCTTGCTTTTATTTTTTTTCTCTATGTTTAATTTTCAGTAATTCTTATTGTTGGATTTGAAATTCGGTTGTCCAAATAATTAAGGAAGGCTGTAGTTCTAATACTTATTTTGTTAAATTCTCGTGGAAACGATATTTTTATACTACTTGATAACTAGTGCACTTGCTAGGGTTATAATTTTAGCTATCATCATTATTCCCCTTTTGCTTCACCTTTGATATCTCACATGACCAGTCCCTTGGCTCACTTTGGTAAGAATGCAAATATAAATATGTATAGTACTGAAAAACTGAGTAAATGGTATTTCTAAACCTTGTATTGCAATGTACAAATTTGTATTATTTACACTCCCAAACTGAGGCTCAGTTTGAAAGGAGTACAAATGCAAAACCTTATATATTGCATTATTTTATATGTATTTACACTGCACACATTTGCATTTGTAATCTTACCAAACTGAGCCTATAAGTTTTTAGTTAAAACTCTTCCAATGCTGCTTCTTCGTGCCACATCCCTTCGATTATTGTATGTGAGCTCGAGTACATGTGACATAAAACAATTGCCCGCCTAAAATCTTCTTTACTAAACTGCTTCCCCCAATTCCTAAACTAATTCTATTTTCTCTCTTTCCACCCAGACTTGTTTCTTCTTGTAGAAAATTCCCTCACCTATCTCTGAAATCTCTTAGCTCTCTCTTTAGTTTTACATAAATCTTCTTAAAAAATTTAATGTCTTTAAATCATCATTGACCTGGATGATTGGACCATTCGGCCCAAGAACCGTTCAAGCAACCGGTTCCATTTTATCCTAAACTCAGTCTTTGGCCAAAAACCATTAAATTGGTTAGAAACTCACTAATCCAGATGGTTGAACCGTTGACCCATTCAATGGTTTTTGGCCATTCAGACCAGAATGACCATTCATTCTGTTCGGACCAAACAATCAAACCGTCAACCCAAAAATCGGTGGCCAAAAAAGTTGAAATTCCAGGTTGGATATTAAAACCTTGAAAAAATTGTAAAATTTAATTCAGACTTGAGATTTGGCACATGTACTCTCTCCTTTTTCTTCTTATATATTTTTATCCCCTTCTTTTTTTCTATTACCACATAATCAAGCACCGTGATTGGTTTCTATGTGGAGTTAAAACAAAAAGCCCTCAGACAAGAGGGACTCTCCTTTACCTTCAGAAACATGATCATATGGATGTGGGTCTCACATATGCTAAATCATCTCCCCCATTTTGATTTTATTCACCTTGAGATAAAATGAAAATTTCAGAAAATACGATGGATTTTGGCGAAATTTAAAACCTTTGTTCTGCTGCGTCTGAATACGACCAGTTTGACATGGTTATGAAATTTCAATTAAACCAACAAATTGAGAGTTACGTTGTCAAACCAATTAATTCGGTGAAGGAATACACATGGCATTGTCTTAGAATGATAAGAAGGCGAGACATGAAATTCCAGCTTGAACTCGACAGAAATTCAAACCAAGACCAGAAACTTAGAAAAGAGGAAGCTGCGAACTGTCGGTAGAATCAAGAATTGACTACCAGAGATAGAGAGAAACATTAATATATAATTTCTCTTATCAAGAGATTAATTAGCTGCCAGCTGATATTGTACGGTTAATCCATAAACCCACTTGCATTAATTTTATTTGAAAAAAATGTTTGTATTTCGACTTGTAAAAGGAATTAATAGTTTTGACATGTGATGTGATCTAAACTATAGACATGGATAATGCTAATTAATTAAGAAATCAATCTGTACGTACTGTATATATATGCATGAGCATTAACTCACAGTTGAGCTTGTCTTATTGACCAACTTAATTGAATGATTCTAACAATTCAAAACATCTCATAAGACAATACAGATCGAAACATTAGTAAGTCTCCTCGATGTGTAATTTATTGCCTGCAATTAAGGTTTTTAAAACCTAATTGGACAACGATTTGGTCAGGGTCCGGTTTTCGGGTCCAACGGTCTGATCGTTCAAATCGAATGGACAATCCATTCTAACAAAAAAATAAAACAAATAAAAACCATCAAAACCATTAGATGATTTGAACGATTCGACCACTTGGGTCAGCGGTTTGTTGAACAAATCAACGGTTTTCAGTGAAATAGTGGTTCTGGGGTAAAACAGAACCAGTCACCTGACCAGTTCTTGATTTTTCTGGTCTGACCATCTAATCTGGTCCAGTTTCGAAAATCATGCCTGCAATAACCATATATATATTGTCTGATTAGGCCTACAGAACAATCTTATGGGCATTTTGTGGTACATCCCAATCATATATTAGAAACATCTCTCAATGACAAATACGAAAAATATGAATTCAAATCAACCCCCACAATGTCCCACAACACATTTCCACCGTATATTGAGAACATCTCCCAATGATAATGCATGCTGAGATGTACATGTGGGTCACCTGTGCGGTACCAATGCCAACTTCAGCTACCAACTAAGTAGGATATTACACGCTAATTCCTTTATTTCCTAATTGGAACTAGTGTTCATTCTCATTCTCAATATTCAACTTCAACCGACCAAGTGACCCCAGTATGAGAGTCATGCCACACAAGGTCTAATTTGGTGGGTGAGAAGGCATCATCATGTGCATGTGCTACTGCCACATACATGAAAGACCCACAAGACGTGCCACACAAAATATGGCACAGTACTCTCTCCACTCTGGACATTCATCTCTCTATCTCTCTCTAGGTTTCTTGGGAGATGAGCACAAACCTTGAAATGTAGATATATAAAAATAATATATATTAGGATCTCCGTCTAAGTTCTAACTTATTTTCTCTTGCATGTTCAGGCATCTTTGAAAAATAAATGCATAGAATAGAAATATATATAATAGTTTGAGGTGGTTGACTTTGATTTAGTTTACACGTAATATATATGCTTGCATGTACTTGCAGAGAAAAAGAAAGCACGTTATGTTTATCCTTTTTATTTGCTTTATACTATTTTTTTCTCCGACTGTACTTTCACGTACCCTTATTCCAAAAAATCCAGTCATCAAAGACTCTCACCATTGTTTTTCAAAAAATATCCCTTCATGTATATAAAAAGCTACTTTTATAATATAATTTCTTGTTCATAATTAGAGGAGTTTTTTTTAATTCCATCAAAGAAAGAAAATGTCATTATTGGACGGTGTTTATTTCTAGAGGCTGTGTTTGATTGCAGTGGAATTTTATTTGCACTAGTACAAAAGTATGAGAGTATAAATGAAAAAAATATAAATTCTTGTTTAATTTTATTTTGGGTTATACTTTATTCTGTTTCATGTCTTTACTTTATTTGTATTGCAATCAAACAAAATAAGTTAAAATTTCAAACAAAACTAAATCAGAATTCACATTCAAATTATTTACATTGTCATAGTTTTGCATTAGTGCAAATTTATTTGTATTGCAACTAAAGACAGCCTGATGAAATATTAGATTATTCCAAGCTCACTAGAGATAACAGAAGCTTCTTCTTTTCTTTAAATTAAACGCTGAGATATCCTAATTAATTAACATTATATATCTATATATCTATATAGAAGAATTCCTACGGGTGCCCCATATCACATCTCAACTATGTATTGAGAACATCTCCTTATAATAAATACAAATACGAAAGAATGCAGGAGATGTTCTCTAAACACGGTGAGATGTACATGTGGGGCTCCAATCTAAAGTCTTAATTGAAACATCAAAACCATGAATATATATATATATGATGGGCAGTTTAGCCATTTCAGATATTGGCGGTGGCGATTCGTTCTCGTCCTTGTGTCAACATTTACACTTGAACAGTCTTATAACCAAAAGGGAAAAACAAAGGGTGCAAATTACGCCGCATACTGTTTCTATATTGTTTGGGTTTGTAATATGAATGCATGGAAATAAATATAATAGAAGACAGTTAAGGGTTGGCTAAGCTATAAGTAGTAGGGGAGACTTGGCAAGTTTCCATATTCCAAAACAAAGATCGAAGAAGCCGAAGAGATAGGATCGATGGAGATGTTGGCTAAGTCTCGCAGCTTTCTGCTATTTTTTCTGGCGATATTCACCATCAAATTCGGCGGTGCTTTGGCTGCTTGGTTGAGTGCCCATGCAACTTTCTACGGAGGGAGTGATGCTTCCGGGACAATGGGTGAGTTCTCTCTCTCTGCACAAAATTAACTGTTTGTATCGAAAATTTATTAGGGAGGGACCCATGGAATAGAATTTGATTTTACTTAACTCTCAGTTTGGAAGGAATACAAAAGAGTACAAAATCTTCTACGTATTTATACTGTATATACTTATATTTATACTCTTTCCAAACTGAGCCTAAAAGTTTGGAATTAGGATTGCAAGCTAGCCCATGCATGAACAAACAATATCGATTTTATATTGAACCACATCAAAGAGTATTAATTACATGTCTGAATCTAATGCTTTTAAGTTTTAACCACTTATTTCTTAAAGGGAGTTTAGGACTCTAGGGACCCCATCCCTTATTTAAACGATGGAGCCCTATATATCTATATGTGCTTGCCACCATAGCACCATGTCATTAATGTTAATTACCACATTTAGGTTATGTTTGATTTAAAGGAAAAGGTAAGGAAAAGAAATGAAAGACAGGGAATTTATACAAGGTTTGCAAAGGTTTTTTTATCTTTTTCTTCCTTTTCCTGCATTTTCTTTCAAACCAAACATTGCTTTAGGCAAGAATTAAAAGGGAATTGAAATAAACTAGAATGGGATTAATTTCTTTTCCAAGGGAAGGGGAGAGATTGACCATTCCACAAATAATGAGAATGGAATTCTAATTCTGTCCAACCAAATTCCAAACACCCCCCCCCCCATTCCTGCGAACCAAATGAAGAAATGACCCTTAATGTTAATTAGTTGGGAAATTAAAAAAAAAAAGAAATTAAGAACAAAATATTGACTATATGTTTGTTTGAAATTGGTGATGGTTCGTTGGATACGACTCCAGGAGGTGCATGTGGGTACGGGAACTTGTACACGGATGGGTACGGAATCAAGACAGCGGCGTTGAGCACAGTTTTGTTCAACAAAGGCAACGCATGTGGAGGTTGTTATCAGATAACGTGTGACGCAACCAAGGTGCCTCAGTGGTGCCTCAAGGCTACCTCTATCACCGTCACTGCCACCAATTTGTGTCCACCAAACTACGCTCTCCCCAACGACAATGGCGGATGGTGTAACCCACCACGCCACCACTTCGATATGTCACAGCCTGCCTTTCAAACCATCGCCCTGTATAGGGCCGGGATTGTGCCCGTTCTCTACAGGAGGTACGTACGTAATTTTATATTAATTATTAATTGATTAACTCATTAATTAATTAACCTCCAATATTATTCTGACTTCTTCTTCCTTGAGACTGCAGGGTTCCATGTCAGAGAAGTGGAGGAATCAGGTTTACAATGAATGGGCGTGATTACTTTGAGCTGGTGCTCATTTCCAATGTAGGGGGTGCTGGAGAGATCTCAAACGTTTGGATCAAAGGTTCAAGAAATCCCAACTGGGAGGCCATGACAAGGAGCTGGGGATCAAACTGGCAGAGTTTATCGTATCTGAATGGCCAGAGTTTGTCTTTCAAAATCCAGACCAGCGACGGACAGACCCGCACTGCCTTGAACGTTATCCCTTCCAATTGGAAGTTCGGCCAGTCCTTCTCTAGCACTGTTCAATTCTGATTCTGTCAACTCATAGATTTCAAAATTAAAGCCCCTACCTTTGTATGCTATGATGAACATATATATATAATAACGTACGTTTAGACATTTCATTATTATCTTTGTCTGTCTGATTCACCAATTAATGTACTTACTTTTATAACTTTGTAATTAATGTAATGTTCAATATATACGATATTGTACATGCTTCAAGGTTCTTCTTCTTGTTCTTCTTCTTCCCATCTCTTCCATCACTGCATGTTATGATGAGCTCGAGTACAATGCCAATGGCTTTGCTATGGCTTTTTCAGCCTCAGAATTGAAAGCCAACGTGAGCAGTTAGGCTTAGGGTGTAAGGACTCCGGCTAAGCTATTGACAACCATTATGTTAATAGCTTTCATATATAAATGATTTGATTTTAAAGTATGAAACAGTCATTTCTTTTCCTCAATTTTCAAGGTGAAACTAAGTAACGCTCTCATGGCTGACCAAGAGTAACTTGCACTCCCTTAAAATAAACGAAAAAGTACACTGCACCACACTGCAGAAGTATGAATTCTACTACAATTCTATACAATTCAAAACGATAAATACCCCCACCCTAAAACTCTAATATCTGCCCGTAAATTGGCATCAATTCTGAACTGGCACCTACCCCAATTGTATTGTGAGGCTAAGAATTCTTAGGGTGTGCTAAACAGTCATTCTCCCTAAAGAAACTTGTCAAAAATTTAAAAAAGTTTTGTGACACATGCCCTTTTTGTCAAATTGTTTATTAGGTGCTCATTGAAGTAGATCAAGATGGGCGGCTAGAGCAAAAGCATGGCCATAGACTTTACTGCTTTACAATGTGATGTGAATAAAAATTACTATATTTTTATCCTTAAATATTCAATCTTTTACACTTAATTAACACTTAATTGGACTCATTACTCTTTTATTTCGATTCAGGGCAAACAAGAAGGCGACAAGAGAGAAATAAGGCTAATCGAATGATTTTGCATAGTTTCGGCATCATTCAGTAATCTGGGCATAACTCTCACATCCGGACTCCGATTGGGATTATTCAAGATGCAGCGGAAAGATAAGGGAGAACTCCACAACGTTCATGTTTTGGGTTTTGACAGATTCGATCCACATAGAGGTCAAAAGCGGGTCCAAAGTCGAAGCAAATTCGTAGAGAAACCCAACTCACAGCTGAAGCCCAATTCGCAGAAAATCCTTGTAGCAGCCCAATTTATTAAAGAAGAACAATTCGAATTCAAGAATAAAGAGTTTTATCAGATTTAAATTTCAAATGTAATCCTAGAAAGAAAAAGGAAATTGAGATTACTAGATAAGAGATAAGGATATGATTAGATTAGGACTTTCTATTTTTGAGGAAGAACTCCAAGAAGGAGTTGGAAACAGCCCCTCCTCCTAAAGCTATATAAAGGGGGGGGAGCAGACTAGCACCAAGGCATCAATCAATCCATCTTGGAAGCAAAGCAAGAAGGAGGAAAAGAGGAAGGCGGCGGCAAGGAGAAGACAAGCTCTTAGATCTTAGCTTCAAGGGCGACATCATGAGTTCTTTCTTACCGCTTGTTTGTTTTATTTCCTTTATCATGAATTAATTTATTTGTAGCTAGGGCTATGGAAAGCCTAACCATGACAATGGATTGATTTTTATTCTGATTTATCCAAGATTGTTATTTTCTTATTGTCTATGAGTTATTATGCATAATGCGATTAAGAGCTTAGCCATTTCTTAATTGGTTTGGTTTATATGAATGAATCGAGAGAGGAATTCATATAGTGGGCTGAATAATTCATAGTGTAAACTGAATGGTATATAGGAATATATATACATGATTCATCTGATGATATAAGTTTTCATAGGACTTATTACATCTCTATCACGTGAACTCTAGTCGAGATATCGAAGGGTTACTTGATAGAGGTAGATTTGATATATCCTGAGAGGGAATATTAAATAAATTTGGAAAAATTTCAGCTTATGAAAATAATAGATTATCTTGGTTAATCTAATAAATTGATATCCATTGGAAGGGTTAGGTGGACCAATAGTCTTAGCGCTTCCAATTAGATCGTTGCAAGTTTTGTCATTGATTGCCCTTATTTTTATTTCTTCTTTTTCTTCTATTCTTAATTTTCAATAGTTCTTATTGTTAGATCTGAAATTCAGTTGTCCAAATAATTAAGGAAGGGTATAGTTCTAATACTTATTTTGTTAAATCCTCGTGGGAACGATATCTTTATACTACTTGATAACTAGTGCACTTGCTAGGGTTATATAATTATAGCTATCAAGTTTTTGGCGTCGTTGCCGGGGATTTAATCGTAAAATAATATTAGAACTTGTTAACCTTGGTTAATTTGGATTTTTATTTTTTCTTTTATCATTATTTATTCGAATTCTTGCTTAGTGTATGACACGCAGTTGAGGAGAAGAACTAGCAGAATTCGATCCTGAGATAAAGAGAACCCTTCGCATATTGCAAAGAGCCAACAAAAGTAAAGAAATAGAGGATGTTGAAAAAGGCAAACCAGCAGAAGAAATTGAGGAAGAAATGGCAGACGAAGCAAATTGAACCTTTTGGACTATGCTTGTCCAACAATTAATGGGGTTACTTCTAGCATTTGCAAGTCAACAATTCAGGTCAATAATTTCGAGATCAAGCCTGCGATCATCCAAATGATCCAAACGAGTATTCAGTTTAATGGGTTGCCAAGTGATGATCCTAATGCACATATTGTTAAATTCCTAGAAATATGCGACACATTCAAGGATAATGGAGTTAGCGATGATGCTATTAGGCTTATGCTTTTTCCATTCTCATTACATGATAGACCTAAGGATTGGCTTAACTCACTCCCTGCAGGAAGTATCACTACTTGGAACGACTTGACACAAAAATTTTTGGCTAAGTATTTTCCTCCCTCTAAAATAGTAAAATTGATCAATGATATCACTACTTTTGTTCAACTAGAGAGGGAATCTCTGTATGAGGCGTGGGAACGATTTAAAGAGATGCTTAGGAAGTGTCCTCTCCATGGAATACCAGTTTGGCATCAAATTCAAACATTTTGTAATGGTATTACTCCATCTAATCGCTCCATTATTAATGCAGCTGCAGGAGGCACAATCATGAGGAAAACTCCAGAGGAAGCCTATGATCTAGTGGAAGAGATGGTATCAAATAGATACCAATGGAATAATGACCGAGCTGATCGAAGGGGAGTGCATCATCTAGATTCTTTTTCAGCTTTATCTGCTCAGCTTGCTACTTTGAATAAAAAATTAGACAATCTTAGTGTTGCAGCAATAAATATGTCATCTTGTAATCCATGTGATCTTTGTGGCCAATTGGGGGACATATAAATTCTGATTGTCAGGTAGGTAATCCTTTTG